GTTGTTGTTGTTGTGGAAGACATCTCACTGTGACAAAATGTTGTTGTTGTTGTGGAAGACATCTCACTGTGACAAAATGTTGTTGTTGTTGTTGTGGAAGACATCTCACTGTGACAAAATGTTGTTGTAGTTCATCTCACTCTGATGTGGTTTTTTAAAATACATTTCACTCTGAGCAAATGTTGTTGGTTTTGTTGTTGTTATTGTTATTGTTGTTGTTGTTGTTATTGTTATTGTTGTTGTTGCTATTGTTGTTGTTGTTGTTATTGTTATTGTTATTGTTATTGTTGTTGTTATTGTTGTTGTTGTTGTTGTTGTTATTGTTATTGTTGTTGTTGTTGTTGTTGTTGTTGTTGCACTTCTCATTCTGAGAAAAATGTTGTTGCGACTCATGGTTATCAAAGACACCTCACTCATGGTTGTCAAAGACACCTGACTCATGGTTATCAAAGACACCTGACTCACCGCCGCCTCATGTTGATACCTTCATGTTAATCAGCGTCTGGGAAGTAGAATTCTGAAGTAACATCTCCTTGGCCTCTCACCTCATGTGAGCCGTTATTTTTTAATTAGCTATCAAATATTTTAAACGTTTTTTAAAATTGTTATCATAATTGTTATTTGAATGATTAATTTTAGAAATAGGAAAAAATGCTCTTCATTTTGCATTATATCCTTTTGAAGAACATACTAAGAGTTATGTGTTTGCACTTTTGTTTACGATGTTTTCAACTTTTGACCTCCTCAGGTGAAGGTGAAGGCCATGCAGTCCCACCAAGACAGGATCGACAGACTGCGTATTTTCGGGGAGCAGATCGTGCGACAGTACAGCGCGGCTCACACCGTCAAGCCTGACATGGAGGAGCTGTTGGCCAAGTGGCAGGCGACCGCAGGCAAACTAGGTCAGAGCTCAGCCCTGGCAGCTCAAACTGTTGTTGTTGTTGGTGTTGGTGTTGTTGTTGTTATTATTGTTGGTGGTGATGGTGGTTGTGGTGGTGGTCTTGGTGTTATTGTTGTTGTTGTTGTTTATTGTTGTTGTTGTTGTTGATGTTAGTGGTGGTGTAGATATAGATGTTGTTGTTGTTGTTATTGCTGTTGTTGTTGATGGTAGGGACCCGGAGGAAGAGGTTGCTGTGGGAGATGTGAGTGGGAGGTGTGAGTGGGAGGTGTGAGTGGGAGATGTGAGCAGAAAGTGCTCACATGTTGTAGCTAGATGGGACCATGAGTCATGTTTTTGACAACATTGTAGAACTGTGTGTATCACATTAAACATCTGCTCAAAGTCTTCCAATTGGGTGTTTGGTGGGTGCTCTGCTGTGGTTTGCTTCTTCTTTCCTATCCGACATCTGTCATCCTTATCTCTGCTCCTTCTTTTTTGTGTTGGTTACTCTCTTGAATCACCTCGAATCTTCGGCATTTGTATGACTATTGTGTTGAAAGTGCCGTTAAACTCTTACCAAAACTAAACTAAACCCTACTAAGAGATGCAAACACAGGCAGTCTGGCCACTCCAACTCCAAAGTGACTGTCGGTTGAAGCTGGAGAGTTGGAGACACAGCCTGGAGAAAGTTTAGGTTTTGCCCGGTATTTCGAACCAGTGGAGTGTGTCGTGCAACTCATTCTGTCATGTCGTAGAATATAAACATTTGTTCGCACACACTTTCAAATCAGTGTATCCTTCAGAAGCGAAAAGCAAGTTTTGAAAATGTTAGGTTTTACTCTCGGAAAATAATTGATAAAGTCCTGAACTGTAAACACATTACTTCCTGTGTTCTGTTCCTTCTGCAGACGAGCGGCAGAAACAGCTGCTGGAAGCTTTGGACAAAGTTCCCCCTCGGACCTACTTGGAGACCATGGCGGTGCTGAGCAAGTGGGTCAAGGACATTGACAAGGTCATCAAGGGGGACAAGGTTCAGGTGGCCAGTGTGAGTGTCATGAGCTCACAGCTGGAGACCTTCAAGGTGAGGGTGCTTATTGATTTATTCATTCATTCATTTATTTTGTTTATTTATTTATTTATTTATTTAACTTATTTATTTATTTATTTAAATTATTTATTTATTTATTTATTTATTTATTTATTTATTTATTTATTTATTGCCTGAATGAAGACAATAAGAAGTGTAAAAGATTTTTGTTAGTTGGGAATGAGTGCAGGGATTAATGAGTGCAGAGATTAATGAGTGCAGAGATTAATGAGTGCAGAGATTAATGAGTGCAGAGATTAGATCAGAGACAATATCTTTCTCTTTACTTATTTTTTTTTCTGAGTAAATCACAGCTTCTAGCTTTTCCAAAACTCTGTCCTGATTGGTCCCCTAAGTTAATGGTTCCACTATGTCCTGGATGTGTCCACTATGTCCTGGATGTGTCCACTATGTCCTGGATGTGTCCACTATGTCCTGAATGTGTCCACTATGTCCTGGATGTGTCCACTATGTCCTGGATGTGTCCACTATGTCCTGGATGTGTCCACTATGTCCTCGTTTAGCTGAAGGAAGAAAACATTTGTTTCTGTCTCAAGTGTTGCTCGAGATCATGCCTTGTTCCCCTAAGTTGTTTTTTCCTCTAAGTTTTTCTCCTTCCCCCCGCTCATCAGTCGCGACGGAGGGAGCGAGGGAGCCGTGTGCCAGGTAAAGGAATGATGGTCGTTATGTTGGATGTTTGATGTACGTGTATATCGCCCACTTTTGTTATCTTCCATCATTTGTGTTGTGTATTGTTTTTCTAGGACTCTGTTTGTGGCAAATGGGTGTGGTGTGTTCCTACTCTTCCATATTCTGAGGCTTATTTCCTATCTGCGTAGAATGTATGATGTCTGATGTGTGATGTGTGGATGAGGGGTGTGGACATGGACACAACAAAAGTATGACACGTGACTTTTGTGGGGAACTGTGTGGCAGCTCATGCAGTGGAGCCTGTTGTGTCAACCACTTACCCCC